CTGGTTTAGACCTGGTTTAGACCTAGTTTCGTCCTGTTTTAGTCCTGGTTTAGTCCTGGTTTAGTCCTGGTTTAGTCCTGTTTTAGTCCTGGTTTAGACCTAGTTTAGTCCTGTTTTCCTGTTTTAGTCCTGGTTTAGAGTCCTTAGTCCTTTTAGTCCTGTTTAGTCCTGTTTAGTCCTGGTTTAGAGTTTTCCGTTTTAGTTTAGTTTAGTTTATCCTAGTTTTAGTCCTGGTTTAGACCTGGTTTAGTCCTAGTTTCGTCCTGTTTTAGTCCTGGTTTAGACCTTGTTTAGTCCTGGTTTAGTCCTGGTTTAGACCTGGTTTAGACCTAGTTTTAGTCCTGGTTTAGACCTGGTTTAGTCCTGGTTTAGTCCTGGTTTAGACCTTGTTTAGTCCTGGTTTAGTCCTGGTTTAGATCTAGTTTAGATCTAGTTTACACCAGCTCTGTTTTTGAGGAACATTCTAACAGTGGGAGTGAACATTGTTTAGTTAAAAATGCTCTTTGATTCCTACGTGTCCAGGTAAAGACGTGAAGTTGCTGTTTTTCCATCTTTCCCAACGCAGTTTTACTGGGTTTCCGATAAAAACATAACAATATCATAATCCCTCAATATGATATTTTCACGATCTGCATTTCACTGTTCGATATTTATTGTTTTGTGGCCATACCGGTTTGTCAAAGTCTGATCCACTCAGATCTCAGAAGCTCAGCAGGGTCGGGTCTGGTCTGGACTTGGATGGAGACACTGGGAAAATCAGGAGCCACAGGAGGCACCAGTCACAAAAACGGCCGTTGTGTCCTTAGTAGGGATGGGCATGATTAATCGATTAATCGATAATTAATCATTAAGAATTTCATTGATTACGTTCATTTTAATCGACAAACCGAATGTATGTTTCTGTGTGTATCGTGACCAAACAGGTGTGTACATGTGTCTCTGCATCAGAAGGAGCGAGACACAAACAGTGGGTCAGTCTGTAACGAACCGAAGCACAAATGTGGATTTAACGATGATTTGTACAAGAAATTCCACACTTTCCGTTGCGTTCGGGACAAGTGTGAGTCCATGTGCACAGTGGATAAAGCAGCACATATGTTTCTGTGTCCAGTGGGAAAAAGTTTTTCCAGGTGAGAGTCGCTCAATGTGGATGACGAGGCCCCGCCCCCCTCCCCCCGTACGCTGTCCTGGTTTTGACAAACACAAATCTGGTCACACTGACCTGTATTCACCTGAGTCATGTCTTTTAATCCAACACAAGTTGAACCGCATCAGCGAGACAAGAGCTGGAGTTTTATCTTCACTTAGCTTATGTAAATGAGTTATGTTTATATGTCGTAAAGTTGAATTTATTTATGCAGATTAGTGCAGATAGTAATAATAATGATGATCATTTTAATGTAAAAACGTTAATGATTAATCGATAATCGTTCATTAATTCTTCCAACAATCGATTAAGAAAATTTCATCGAATGCCCGTCCCTAGTCCTTAGGCAAGACACTTCACCCACATCGACTTGTATGAAAGTGATGTGTGTGTGATGGTGGTGGTCGGAGGGGCTGATGGTGCAGACTCACAGCCACACATCCGTCAGTCTGCCCCAGGGCAACTGTAGCTGCAATAGTAGTTTACCACCACCAAGTATGGAGGGAATGAATAATGAACTGCAAAGGTCTATAGGCGAGTTTGAGCTGACGTCATTGTTATTAAAAGCCCGCGTTGCTGCTGGGAAATATTTTGGTCGGAGGCAAGAAACACGGTAGCGTCAAACACAGTGCGTAACCTCGCGTATTTATCCCCGATAATGGTAAATTCCTGCTGCATTATCAGATGCACAAATAGAAGCACGGAAGAAGGAAAATGTCTTTTTCGTATTCTGAGTGAAAAGAACCACTAACGGTGAATTAAACGACTTTCAAACATCCGCAGAGCAAACGTAGAAGATCCTAACAAACCGTGGACTCCAACAAGTTCAACAACACATCGAGACTCTTGGAGGTTTTCATCTTTTCTGCTGTGAATGGCCCAGGAGTTTCCACCAAGTCATTGTGGATGTCGCCCAAGTGAATATTTGTCCAGGTAGTTGGTGATTCTGACCAGAAATTTGGTTTGGTTTCACCTTTTGTCGGGGTTGAAAAGGGTGATTTGGCGTCTGTTGATGTTTATGACCAATTTCAGGTCAAATGGTCTTGGCTCCTCTGCTGTTAGAGTGGATAAATAACCAGGATCAATACCCTTTACGTGCTTTCTCGCTCCGTCCATCATGTTGAATTAGTGATTCTTGCCGCCGACCAAAATAATTCCCAGCATGCAACGCACGCTTTTGTCAACAATGAAACTCACCTATAGATGCAATGATCCATGAATTCACTATAATATTGAGATATTGTGAAGACTTAAAAAAACAAAGGTGCATTTGTTGACATGCAGGATTGATTTCAAGCTTTATTTGGTTGTAGATGGTCAAAGTAAGTCAGTCTACAATAGACATAAGATAATAACATGAGGAATAACGGCTAATGTTAGAGAAGTCCTTTTAGAGTCAACTCTGTCGACACTACATGTAAAATTTTATGTAGTTTATTTGGTCGTATCTGACTTAGAATTAGAATGCATCAATGTGAAGTGTATAGATCAGAGGTGCTCAATACATCGATCGTGATCTACCAGTCGATCTCCAAGGTCGTGTGGGTAGATCGCCGTGTCTCGTCTCGGACTCGTGTTTGGACTCGGTCTTGTCTCTCACTCGAGGTCTGACACTCAACAAGTGTGATCATATTTCATTCCGGCCGCTGCTGTTGGTAATAAACTTGTAGCGGGTGCAGGAGCGTGTGGGGCGTCTCAGTGCAGCCTGTGCGCTCATTTGAAACCCGCGGAGACTCTACGGCGCATCACAAACACACACGCTCCCTATGCACGGCTCGTCTGCGACAGCGTGTGCCCTCGTGTACCAGCGTGCATCACAGGGCAGGTTCAACTTCCTAAACATCCTACCTGTCCATCTGCCTCACGTCAGCACGCCGCCCCTCGCCTTTTCACGCTCTCGCTCCTTCCTGCGTACAGCCAACACAAGCCCCTCCCACAGTGCGGCTGATTAGAAGAACAAGACCAAACGTGAAGCAAAAACCAGTCTAAATTTGTGTTCCAGTGTTGGCACAAAGCAGGTCTACAGCATAGAGCGGATCTACAGAACAGACCTACTGCCACATTTGGCTGAAGTTTGTCTAACAAAAGTGACAAATGCATCTGTGTTTGTCACGATGTGCGTTTGGTTTGGTAAACGTGCAGAGGCTGGTAAATATCACTGCAAAACCAGAAAAGAATGAAACTCCAGTTTGGAACTTTAAAAAACAGGTTTAAAAATCTTCCTTCACTTTTTTCACAGTTTTGTGTAAAGTGCCAGAGGAAGTTCTCTTAAAGAAGAGGTTCTCAAACTGTGGGGGAGGGTCCAAAAAAGGGGCACAGAGTGTTTCAGTGCAGTTTATTTGGCTTGTATTAGGTAGGTCATTTTGACTTGGTCATTTTGTAAGTAGCTCACATGATGAAAAAGTGTGAACACCTCTGCTGTAGTGTGCTTGGTTTTTTTTTAAAGGAAAGAATGGGAAAGTGCAGGTTTGACTCACAGTTCCTATAGACCGTAAACATTCTTAGAACTGCTGTAAGAATGTGAAAAAGCCCTGAGCTCTTCTTCCTCTTCCTCTGGCCTGTGTTTAACTCTGTTTGTGTCTCTGTGATCATGACTCGACTCACAGCTCAAGACAAGATTTAACTCTTCTTAAGTGGATCTGTTCTCAAACTTTTCAAAGCTTTTAAACCACCTGAAGTTGTATTTGGAAAGACTCGTGCATGTGTGAGTCATCTTTAACCGCTTATTTTCTATTTTCATTTTGCCGATTCACCCGTTTTCAACGCCACCGGTTCTTTAAGTTGAATATTTTCTACATTTTATACTCAAATAGAAGATATCAAATAGATAAAGGAAGATAAATGGAGTAATGTAACAAAGAAGAAGAAGAAGAAAAAAAAGGGAAATAACAATTAAATATTTTTTATATTCAAATTCTCACAGTATCCACCTTTTACTCTGTGGACAAACCCCTCAAGGTTTTCTGTCAATGAGTCTGTTTTAGTCCTGGGTCCAGTCCTGGTTCAATTCTGGATCAGTACTGGTTTAGTCCCGCTTTACTCCAGGTTCAGTCTTGCTTTGGTCCTGCTTCAGTCCTGGTTTAGTCCTAGTTCGGTCTTGGTTTAGTCTTGTTTCAGTCCTGTTTTAGACCTGTTTCAGTCCTGTTTTAGTCTTAGTTCAGTCCTGTTTTAGTCCTGTTTTAGTCTTGGTTCAGCCCTGTTTTAGTCCTGATTCAGTCCTGGTTCAGTCCTGTTTTAGTCTTGTTTCAGTCCTGGTTTAGTCCTGGTTTAGTTCTGGTTCAGTCCTGGTTTAGTCCTGGTTTAGTCCTGGTTCAGTCCTGGTTCAGTCCTGCTTCGGTCCTAGTTTGGGCCTGGTTGGGTCTTGTTTTAGTTGTGGTTTGGTCTTGGTTCGGTCCTGGTATAATCATGTTTCAGTCCTGTTTTTGACCTGTTTTAGTCCTGTTTTAGTCCTCTTTCAGTCCTGTTTCAGTCCTAGTTTAGTCCTGGTTCAGTCCTGGTTTTAGTCCTAGTTTGGGCCTGGTTCAGTCCTGGTTTAGTCCTGTTTTAGTCCTGTTTTAGTCCTGGTTCAGTTTTGGTTCAGTCCTCTTTCAGTCCTGTTTCAGTCCTAGTTTAGTCCTGGTTCAGTCCTGGTTTAGTCCTGTTTTAGTCCTGGTTCAGTCTTGGTTATTTGCTGTTCTGTACATTCATTGTTTTTCTTGTATTGTTCATTTCTGGTCTCACACGCTCCTCTGTGTGTGTGTGGTTTTTTTTGTGTGTGTGTTGTGATATGTGTGTGTTTTGTGTGTGTGTTGTGATATGTGTGTTGTGTGTGTTTTGTGTGTGTGTGTTTTGTGTGTGTGTTTGTGTGCGTCAGGTGACTGAGGAGGAAACATGCCAGCCCCACCACCACCACCCCCTCCACCGCCACCTCCACCGGCCCCCAGTGCTGCTCTGCCACAGGTAACACACACACACACACACACACACACACAGACACACACACACACACACACACACACACACACACACACACACACACACACACACACACACACACACACACACACACCTCACAGTCGTTCACTTGTTTGTATTGACAGAACCTCCTGCACCTGTCCTGTCTTTTCTGTCTCTGCATCACCTGTTCTGCCTGAGCTCACCTGCACCTGCCGCCTCCTGTCCCTGCAGTGTCTAACCTGCACCTGCCGCCTCCTGTCCCTGCAGTGTCTAACCTGCACCTGCCGCCTCCTGTCCCTGCAGTGTCTAACCTGCACCTGCCGCCTCCTGTCCCTGCAGTGTCTAACCTGCACCTGTCCCCCTGCGTGAAGTCGCTCCCATCAAACACAAACCTACACAAAAACTACGTCAATCGTTTGTGCTGTAAAAAGTTGTATTTTATGGTTCTTAAGATATTACCTGTTTTATTTTGGGCCGGTGACGTCTAGTCTAGTGGGTCTGCGCAATTTCATTTCTCTCCAGCGACTAGATCAGGAATCAAAATACACTAGAGCAGGGGTGTCAAACTCATTTTGGTCCGGGGGCCGTATCCAACCGACTTTGATCCCAAAGTGTCCGGATCAGAAAACTCATGTCATATAAACCCCAAAAATAACAATAAGTTCAAATATTTGTGCAGAGAAACACAAATCTATTGCAAAAATCTTTTTTAACTGATGAACTCTTTCTTATTATAATATTATAATATTATGAACAACCTGAAACTTTAAGAAAAATTCAATTTCAGCACAAAGTTTTAACATGAACTTGTATGTAAACAGGAATAATTCCATTTTTGTTGTAAAATCCTGCACTCGGCTCCACTTTTCTCATGTTGGACATTTTTCTGATGAGGGTGTCACGGTCAACAGTCAAAACGATCGTCCTTTAAGAGCGTTTGGAAAGAGACAAGTCTTCATTTGTGCTGCTCTGGTGGGAGGGGCCACGTACAGAGACGCTGGAGACGCTGCTGTGATAAACACCACAGAAAATTAACAAGATTTTAATAGAAAATATAATTAAAATATTTTAGTAGAAAATCCGCCGAGGGCCAGATTAAAGGTCTTGGAGGGCCGGATCTGGCCCCCAGGCCGTATATTTGACACCTGTGCACTAGACGGTTTACAAAAACCCCGGAAGTTGTAGACCGCACACCGACCAATCAACAAAAACCCGAGTTGTGACAGCAGACTGCAGACGCTCTCCTCCTTTGAAAATCCTTTGTCAAATATAAACTTTGCATTTTTTATTGCACCTTTAATTCACAAGTTCACCTCGCAGAATTGACAGTGATCACTGACAGACATGTTCACTCTCTGATTTGTTTGCTGTTGTGCCGGAAATTACACGACACCACTGAGCGTCCCGGTGCATTACATACGTCACGACCAAAGAGCAGCAACTGATTTAATAAAAAAAAGTACCCACCTGCCGTTGAGCAAAAAAAAAAAAAATCCTAATGCTGCGAGGTCAGAAACCGTCTCATGAATCAGTGTAGATGACGTCGTCCAGCCTCTCAAAATGTGAAACGGCCTCAAAACAGCAGAAAATTATACAAACGTTTGTATTTGGTTTGTGTTGTTTTGAGTTTAATTCTAAAATTATTCATGATTATTTTTGCGGAAATTATCTAACGTCATTTCTGCTCATCTGACGACAGCTTTAACAAAACTCCACAAAATTAGTGAAGAGAAACGACCTGAGGTTGTGGAAAAGTCTGTACTTATATGTATATAATACCACAGCCTTAGAAATAAACTCACACAAATGAAATACAAATGTTTTTTCATAATTTTCTGCTGTTTTAAGGCAGTTTCACATTTTGAGGGGCTGGACGATCAGACCAAAATAAAACTGTTCATATTTTAAGAACCAGAATCACACAAACCAAACTTTATGCAGCACAAACAATTGACAGAGTTTTTGTGCAAGTTTGAGTTTGATGGGGGCAACTTCAAGGAGTCCCACCTGTCCTCCTCCTGCACCTGTCCTCCTCCTGCACCTGTCCTCCTCCTGCACCTGTCCTCCTCCTGCACCTGTCCTCTCCTGCACCTCTGCACCTGTCCTCCCTGCACCTGTCCTCCTCATGCACCTGTCCTCCTCCTGCACCTGTCCTCCCTGCACCTGTCCTTGCACCTGTCCTCCTCATGCACCTGTCTCCTCATGCACCTGTCCTCCTGCACCTGTCCTCCTGCCTGCACCTGTCCTCCTCCTGCACCTGTCCTCCTCCTGCACCTGTTCCTCCCCATGCACCTGTCCTCCTCCTGCACCTGTCCCCTCCTGCACCTGTCCTCCTCCTGCACCCTGTCCTCCTGCACCTGTCCTCCTCCTGCACCTGTCCTCCTCCTGCACCTGTCCTCCTCCTGCACCTGTCCTCCTCCTGCACCTGTCTTCCTCCTCACCTGTCCTCCTCCTGCACCTGTCCTCCTCCTGCACCTGTCTCCTGCACCTGTCTCCTCCTGCACCTGTCCTCCTCCTGCACCTGTCCCTCCTGCACCTGTTCCTCCTGCACCTTCCTCCTCCTGCACCTGTCTCCTCCTGCACCTGTCCTCCTCCTGCACCTGTCCTCCTCCTGCACCTGTCCTCCTCCTGCACCTGTCCTCCTCCTGCACCTGTCCTCCTCCTGCACCTGTCCTCCTCCTGCACCTGTCCTCCTCATGCACCTGTCCCCCTCCTCTCCTGTGTGCACCTGCCTCCTGCACCTGCCTCGTGCTCCTGTATTATAGATGAGTGTGGTTCTCAGTGGGTCAGACTCTGTCACATCAGGAGCCTCTGTTACCTGTCGGGGAACGGTTTTCACCACACACACTTTTTACTAATTGTTTATTTATTTTAGTATATTCTCATATCTAAATGTTTTTTTCTATTATTATTCTCAGAATGCACGTGTCCCTGTTCTCTCCACCAGTCCTGTCTCTTGAACACGTCCCAAATCCGTTCAAAATGCTGATAAATATTAACATACTGATAAAGTGAATTTATATTTGAATGTATTTTAAATAAATGTTTAATATTTGTGTGTGTGTCAGTGTCCAGAGCCTCCCAAACCCCCAGCCCTCTCAGGAGCAGGAGGAGCAGGAGGAGGAGGAGGGAGGAGTGCTCTGTTAGCAGACATCCAGAGAGGAGCCCGACTGAGGAAAGTCGTCCAGACCAACGACCGCAGCGCTCCGGCCCTGGACAGTAAGAGCCACACTAACATCACACTTATACAGGGAGCCCACTCTTTTTCACTGACAACATTTCCAAACTTTTCCATGACTTTTTCATGACCTAAAGCAGACGAGTCAAACTTACTGCCCAGGGGCCAAATTTGGCCCACGATATAATTATATTTGGCCCATGAGATCATATAAAATCTGTATTAGAGCTGCTCACCGCGCACAGATCGACTATAGAGACATTATTTATTTAAAATGTTGTTATTATTTTATATTCTGCTTGTCTGGATTCAATGTTTAAGCAAAACTATAATTAAACATTTATTTTAATAAAAGGTTTAACATCACATATCTCAAAAGAAGAGAAAACATGCATATGTCTATATTATTAAGTTTGGCCCACGACTTGGTCCCAGTTTTAAATTTTGTTCTCTGTGAATTTGAGTTTGACTCTCCTGAACTAAAGTGAATTTTCCATGACTTTACAGCACCTACATGTGTAGAACTGATCAGACTTTAGGGCTAAATATGAAATGTGAACTCTTTCCACTCACTTTATGGTTTGGGATTATAGTTTTTAACATTTAAATCCTGTCAGTGCTTTTATTGTCGTCTCTTTTATAAACAAAAGGCTCAGACATTCAGAAATAATCACAACAGCCTCATGAGAACTGAACAGAACACTGGAGCAGCGTGAAAGAGATTTCCATTCCGTTCCATGACTTTTCAGTGAATTTTCAAAATTTCAGGCCTGGAAAATGACATTTTCAATTTCCGCGACTTTTCCAGGATTTCCATGACCGAGTGGGAACCCTGATTATAACACAGTCAGGAGGAGAGTAAGGAGCCCACATGATGATAACACTCAGAATATCAGTGCCGATAAATGGGAAAATGACTCTTTCTGTTTCTTTTCATTCATTTCACACTGTTAATGTCTTTTTATACTTTATGAAGGAAATTAAACAAATAAATCAATAATATCAGTACCAATACACAAAGTAATGAGGACATCTTTGTCTCTCTTTCTACAGTGACCAGGACAAAACATGAAGTTCAGCACATGCAAAAGTAAAGATCCGTGTTAAACTGGAACATAATCCAGAAGAACACAGACACGACACAGACACGACACAGACACGACACAGACACGACACAGACACGACACAGACACGACACAGACACGACACAGACACGATACAGACACAGACACGATACAGACACGATACAGACACGATACAGCACAGGTGTCAAACATAAGGCCCGGGGGCCAGATCCGGCCCTCCAAGACCTTTAATGTGGCCCTTGGGTGATTTTCTACTAAAATATTTTAATTATATTTTCTATAAAAATATTTGTAATTTTCTGTGGTGTTTATCACAGCAGCGTCTCCAGCGTCTCTGTACGTGGCCCCTCCCACCAGAGCAGCACAAATGAAGACTTGTCTCTTTCCAAACGCTCTTAAAGGACGATCGTTTTGACTGTTGACCGTGACACCCTCATCAGAAAAATGTCCAACATGAGAAAAGTGGAGCCGAGTGCAGGATTTTACAACAAAAATTTACTTATTCCTGTTTAAATACAAGTTCATGTTAAAACTTTGTGCTGAAATTGAATTTTTCTTAAAGTTTCAGGTTGTTCATAATATTATAATATTATAATAAGAAAGAGTTCATCAGTTAAATAAGATTTCTGTAATAGATTTGTGTTTCTCTGCACAAATATTTGAACTTATTGTTATTTTTGGGGTTTATATGACATGAGTTTTCTGATCCGGACACTTTGGGATCAAAGTCGGTTGGATACGGCCCCCGGACCAAAATGAGTTTGACACCCCTGCGATACAGACATGACACAGACATGATACACAATACAGACATGATACAGACATGATACAGACAGAGTGCAGGGCAGAGCTCAGAGTTGAGTTGGAATGTGACTGATAAGACGTATAGAAGCAGGAGCCATTTATAGTTCCACCGTATCACCAAAACCTCACCCAGGACCCTGAGCGCAGGTACGAGCTCTGTTCACGCTGACGTCACAAAACCGGGAAACGTTTGGAAACATTTGGATGATTTGGATGAAAAGAAAATTGTCAGTTTTTTTTTTTTTTCATCTAGATGTCATTGCATTCTTTCTTTTTTCCTTTTATAAATTGCTTATTCATTTGTGTTATAGAATTTAACTTAAAAAAAAAAAACTCTGAAAACACGATTCGAGTCCCGTCCTCCATGGAAAGCTTCGGCAGGTTGTGAAAACGCTGCTGCTGAATCCACAGTTTTATTGTTTTATCGCATGCCCAGTGTTGGGAACTACACCGGAAGTCGTTATCCACTTGTTTTTCCAAACGTCTTCCAGTAAGTGTAATATCAGCCTCACTGGATCAATCAGACACCTGGAATTTCTGTCAAAAACAAAACAAAACAAACAATAAATGTATGAAGTTTCAGTCTTTTCATGAGCACATTGATCTACTGTTTGACCTATGAGTGTGTGAAAGATTTGATTTAATGTACATTTAAACATATATATTAGCAAAAATAATCACAATCCACTTTCTAATCCACTTTATTTCTATCACACATTTCATAAACCGTTTCCAAAGTGCTGCACAAATACATAATAATGACAACAAGAATAATATAATGATAAGTTAAACGCTCAGTTTTAATCACACTACTTTTAAAACAATAAAACCAGTAAAATAAAATAAGAGCAAAAGCATAGAACAGCAATAAATAAATAAAACTAATACATAAAAAATAAATAAAAGACACAGAGGACCACACAAATCGACACGGTGTTAAAAAACAGAGTGTAAAAGTGGGTCTTAAGACGATAATGTACTTGAGTAGTTAATTATTAGTAATTTCAAAGTAACTGTACTTTTATTACATTTTTTGGTGTTTGGTGTTTGGTGGGAGCACATACACGAACAGGCAGAAGTTTGGACTCACTTCTTTTTACTCATGGAAATCCTGGAAAAGTCATGGAAATTGAAAATGTCATTAACCAGGCCTGGAAAAGTCATGACATTTTGTAAATTCAATGAAAGTTTTAGAAAAGTCCTGGAATTTTAGTATCTCTAAAATTAGTAGTGTTCTGTTTAGTTCTCATGAGTCTGTTCTGATTATTTCTAAAAATCTGTGCCTTTTGTTTAAAAGAGACGACAATAAAAGCACTGACAGGATTTTGAATGTTAAAAACTATAATCCCAAACCATAAGGTGAGTGGAAAGAGTTCACATTTCAGATTTAGCCCTAAAAGTCTGATCACATGTATCTACACATGTGGGTGCTGTAGATCAAACTTTTTTTTTTTTCTGGGGATCCATATTTTAAAAGTCACAAACCTTTGCGACCGAAGTCCATAGACATCATTCGTAAGTGGAGTGCAAGTGGAGCGGCTTTGTAGTTTACAAAAGTCGTACTAAGACACAACAATAAATTCATATATAAGGCGCTCTGGATTATAAGGCGCGCACTTGTTTTTGGATGAAATGAAAGGCTTTTAACTGCACCGTATAGTGTGGAAAATACGGTATCTCTCATGACCCAGTCTTTGGGAAGCAATACCGTAAAGTCATGGAACAGTCTTGAAATTTTGTCAGTGAAAAAGAATGTGAACCCTGTTATATCGTGCTTCTATAATACAATATAACTGTACAAACTTGTGAACATACAGAAAAAACTGTGGCTGAGGTGTGTCTGAAGTTTCCTGGTCGTGTTCTCGTTCTGGTTTCGTGTTTTCGCTCTGACTCTGTGTGTGAGTGTGTGACATGTGGAAGCACAGGTTTGTTTCACCCTGGGCTGTGTGTGAACTCCACATTCTCACACAAAACCCGGCTCTCTGACGTCACACGGGTGAAAACAGAAAACAGCTGATCTGACGCGTGCTTCAGACTTTTCACATCGGATCAGGTCCACACTCGGATTCACAGAACTTTGGGATCACAGCTCAGTGTCACAATCCACACGTGGTTCTGATCCACAAGACGACACCTGTTTATCTGGGACAAGCTCAAGAATATTGCAAAAGAAAATTTATTCTATTAACTGGACCAAAGATTTTTTTAAACTACTCAGACTAACTTTATTGATCCACCAAGGAAATTATTTTTAAAAAGTCACCCAATCCTGTTTTCCTCCTCTGCACAATTGTCAAAAACACTGAAAAACCAGGTCAAGACCAAGACTTTTAAAGGTCGAGAAGACGACAAGACTGAGACCGCGGCCCATCAAGACCAAATCAAGACCGTCTTTGTCATTTTCAACATTTATTTGTATTTTACAGTTATTTTGGCACAAATATACCAATGTTTTTATAAATCTATCTCCATTTTGTCACTCATCGATGTAAGATGTTGAGGCCGAGACAAGACGGAGTCCAAACGCCTCCAAGACCGAGATAAGACAGAGTCCAAGTGCCTTCAAGACTGAGACAAGATTGAGTCCAAATGCGGTCGAGTTCAAGACAAAACCGTGTTCAAGTGCCTTCAAGACCGAGACAAGACCGAGTCCAAACGCCTTCAAGACTGAGACAAGACCGAGTCCAAACACGGTTGAGTCTGAGAGAAGACCAAGACTGTAAAAGGCCAGTCTCGAGTACTACAACAACAACAACAACTAGGGTGTGTTAGTTTCAGTGTAGTCAGGTCCTTTCTTCACACAGACAGAACCTGTCAGAACTGAAGAAGCCTCTTGGTTGAGTGAAGAAACTTATTTTCTCACTGTTTGTCCAGTTACTAGAATTAAATTTTCTTTTACGATGAACCTGGACCAATGAGAGCGCATCGACAACTGAAACTTATCCTGACCAGTTTTATTTGCGGTGATGTTACGTGTTGAATCTTTGTGTTTTCTCAGAGCCAAAGTCCGGTTCTGGAGACGGTTCAGCTGCTCCTCAGGGCTCCTCAGGTGGAACAGCACCCATGGGACCTTCTCTGGGCGGACTGTTCGCTGGAGGCTTCCCCACCCTGAGGCCCATCGGACAGAGGGACCTCACAGGAAAGACGGCGGGTAAGTGCACCAGAGGTGCATCGAGCAAATAATGATCATGTCGTTTTCTGCCTTTTGTCTTTGCACAAACAAAGACACAGGAACTGACAAATAAGAGTCAAAGGGCAATTTTGAGCTAAATATTTTTCACATACAAATATTTCTTCATTATAGCAACTAGTTGCCAAATTTTGGGAGCCCTGCCCATTACACTTTTGTCTCGATAAAACAGAAACTCTGAAGTTATTTTTCTCAGTTTTACACTCTGGAGAGTTAAACTCTTTTACAACTGTAGGGCAGAACAGTGGCCTTTTCTTTCACTAAAAAGTTGTTGAATACAGTTCACCTGTTGTAGTTCAGATAAGTCGGTTCTTTCAGGTCAGATTATGTTAGAATAAAACTCAGATTAAACAGTTTCAGACGGAGCAGTGCCTACAGTTAGCGTCTGTAAAGTATCAGCATGTTCAGTTGTTTGTTGTTTGTGTTTCAGTTTTCAGGTCGAGCTCGACGGCGTCTCTGAAGCCGCTGTGGAACGCCCCGCCCACGTCATGTGACCCCAGCTCCGCCCCCGACCTCTCCAAAATAAGCTCCGCCCACCGACCCCTGGCGCCCTCCTCCTCGGCCCCTCCCTCCCCCTCCCACGGCAGCCGGCTCCATCCCCTGGCGCAGACTCCGCCCCCTATGCCCACTTCCTCGCCCCCTCCGCCTCCCATCCCACTGTCAGCCCGCCCCCTCCGCCACCTCTCCTGCTCTCAGCCCCGCCCTCCTCCGCCAATCCCACTCTCAGCCCCGCCCCCTCCTCCTCCAATCCCGCTCTCCGGCCCCGCCCCCTCCTCCTCCTCCAATCCCGCTCTCAGCCCCGCCCCTCCTCCTCCAATCCCGCTCTCGGCCCCGCCCCCTCCTCCTCCGCCTCTCCCTCTCTCCTCCCCTCCTCCTCCGCCGGCCCCCCTCTCGCCCCCCCGCCCCCCCCCCCCTCCTCTCGCCTTCCAGGATCGCCCCGCCCACCGCCCGCCCCCCCTGCCCACCTGCCCGCCCCCACCGCCCCCTCCCTGCCCCAGCTCTCCAAACCCACCTGGCTTCCCCTGCAGAGCTCCGCCCCCCCGCCGCCCCCTCCCCCTCCTCCTCCCCCCGCCTGCTACGTCCCCGGCGACCGCTCCTCCGGCGTGTTCTACCTGCCGCCGCCGCCGTGCAGCCCGCTGGGACCGCCCCCGCCGCCCCCGCTGCCCGCCTCCTTCACGCCCACCTGCCCGTCCAACCTGCCGCCGCCGCCGCCCAAGGTTCCCCCGGTGCCGTCCCCCGCCATGCGCTCCCTGCCGCCGTCGTACCCCTGCCACGCCCCGACCCGCCGCCCGCCCGCCGTGCCCCGGAGCGCAGGTACCAGCTCACTGTGTTTTTTTTTTTCCAGAATTTCTTTTTCTGTTACTTTTCGGTAAAGATTAAAACCTGTCGTAAAATCAATATAATCCTGTTCACGGTTGGAACAGATGAAAATACACATATAATTTATTTTTGCATTTGGAGCTTTAATTAAACAACTTTAAAGGGTCCATATGACACTATTTTCTGATCTCTGTTCTAATGTAGTTTCCTCATCACAAACCCAACAAACAGATCTTTTTCACAACAGCCAGAACTGTCGGGTAAGAAAGACGAAAACTTAAAGGAGAACGACGACGCATTAGAGACACACTGAACAAAACTAATGTTATGGTCATGAATAAAACAGAAGGAACTTGTTTACTCAGACTGATTCTACAATTAAATTTTAAAATTGATTTCTTAGACAGATAGATTTGTGCAGTTCGATGTTCACAGATTATTAGGGATGTAACAAAAACTGAAATATGATATCGTATCATCAAACGTCTCACAATAATATTGTGGACCAACACAATATATCGAATTGCATGTTTCTTTGCTTAACTTCATTGTTTTATAGTAACAACAGCTTATAAACATGTGGAACTACATTTCCCATGATTCATTTCAGCGCAGACAACATGAAGAAACATGTTTTTGACTTGAATTCTTGGGAT